TGAAGATCCTAAAATTATACAGTCTAACTTTAATTTATACCAACTCAGCTTGAGTAACATACAAAAACTCTCACTTTTTTTTTTTTTTTGGGACAGAATCTTACTCCATCACCCAGACTAGAGTGCAGTGGTGCGATCTCAGCTTACTGCAACCTCTGCCTCCCAAATTCAAGGGATTCTTGACTACACTTTTAATAGCTTCTTCTTTACCCCTTTCAGTTGTTGATGTCACAAAATTACATCTTCATACATTTGTGCCCCAAAACATACATGAATAAATCTTTGAAATGCATTAACCTCTTAAATTCTGTAGAAAACAGAATGTGGACTTACAACCAAAATTTTCAATAATACTACTTTTAGGTTTTTCTTAAATGTATTAGTCTCTTAAGTCAGGTGGAAAACAAACAGTGCAGTTATTATATACACCTGAGTTATCAGGTTTCTATAATTTGATTATGAGGCATCAAATCAATCTTTACAGTAATACTCATGCGTTTACTTTGATTAAGATCTTTAGTTTTTTATACAGCTTCAAGTTAATGCCTAGTGTACTTTCATTTCACTCTTTAGGACTGCCTTGAGCATTTCTTGCAGGGCAGGTCTAGTAGTAAACTGTTTTAGGTTTTGTTTAAGTGGGAATGTCTTAATTTCTCCCTCACTTTTGAAGGACAGTTTTGCCAAATGTAAGATTTTTTGTTGACAGTTTTTTCTTTTACCGCTTTGAATATATCCACCCAATATCTTCTAGCTTCCAAAGTTTCTGATGAGAAACCTGTTAATAATCTCTTTTTTTTTTTCTTTTCTTTTTAAAGACAGAGTCTCACTCTGTTGCCCAGGCTGGAGTGCTCTTGACTCACTGCAGCCTCTGCCTCCTGGGTTCAAGTGATTCTCCTGCTTCAGTCTCCTGAGTAGCTGGAACTACATGCATGCACCACTACACCCAGCTAATTTTTATATTTTTAGTAGAGACAGGGTTTTTTCACGTTGGACAGGCTGGTCTTGAACTCCAGGCCTCAAATGATCCTCCTGCCTTAGCCTCCCAAAGTGCTGGGATTACACTGCACCTGGCCTGTTGAAGATTCCTTGTATGCAATGAGTTGCTTATCTCTTCCTGCTTTCATGATTCTTGAGTTTGGCTTGCAGAAGTTTGATTATAATGTTTCTTGGCATGGACCTCTTTGAGGTCATCTTACTTGGAATTCATTGAGCTTCTTGGACATTTATACATTCATATCTTTCATCAGATTTGGAAAGTTTTTTAACCATTATTTCTTCAGATATTCTTTTTTTTTTTTTTTTTTTTTTTTTTTTTTATTAACATTTTTTTTTTTTTTTTTTTTTTTGTCCTACAGGTCTCTGAGTTTGTTTGTTTTTCTTTTTTTTTTTTTTTTTTTTGAGATGGAGTCACCCCTGTTGCCTAGGTTAAGTACTGTGGCATGATCTCAGCTCACTGCAACCTCTGCCCCTGCCTCTCAGGTTCAAGCAATTCTCTTGCCTCAGCCTCCTGAGTAGCTGGGACTACAGGCACACGCCACCATGCCTGGCCAATTTTTGATTCTTTGGTAGAGACAGGGTTTCACCATGTTGGCCAGGCTGGGCTCAAACCCCTGACCTCAGGTGATCTGTCCACCTCAGCCTCCCAAAGTGCTAGGATTACATATTCTTTCAAATATTCTCTTTTCCCTTTTCTGTCTTCTTCCAAGACTCCCACATGCATATGTTGTATCATGTAATAGTATCCCACAGGGTACTTAAATTCTGTTCATTTTTTTTCAGTCTTTTCTTTCCATAGTTTCCATTGTCTTATCTTCAGATTTGCTGATTCTTTATTTTGCCTGCTGAAATCTGCCTTTGAGTTTCTCTAGTGAAGTTTTCATTTCAGTTATACTTTTCAGCTCCAGAATTTCCTTTTGTTTCCTAGACGTTCTGTTTTTTTATTGAGATTGCCGTTTTGTTCCTGCATCATTTTCTTGACTTTGTCCACATCTTCTAGTTCTTTAAGTGTCTTTAAGACGGTTGTTTAAAAATCTTTTTGAGTAGATCTGGCTTGAGATGTTTCTCAAGGACAATTTCTGTGGATTTATTTTTCCCCTCTGAATGGGTCATATTTTTATTTTTCTTTGTATACCTTGTGATTTTTTTTTTTTAATGAAAATGGGAATTTGAATCTAATAATGTGGAAACTGTGGAAATCAGATTATCCCTCTTCCCCCAAGCTTGCTCTTTTTATTTATTCTTTTGGACATCTTTTTTAAATTGTTGAAGGCTGTCTCTATGCCAAAGTTCAGCCCATAGTATAAACTCAGTGTCTTCTCAGGTCTTTCTGAGCCTGATCTTTTCCCTAGGCAGGTGCCATCACTTTCTGATTTTCCCCATATATGCTATTGTTTTTGAGTGTCCTTGTCTTTATTGTCTGACTCTCAAAGGACAATAAAAGAAAAATGAAGGAGAGAAATACACTGGCTTTTTTAATAATTCCAGGGGTCAGAGGGGCAGGCATGTTTAACAGTTGGGGGAGGAGCCTGCCTCTCTATGACTCTGTGATTAGAAGCAACAGTCAGCAGTCTAGGCATAGATCTCCTGTATTTGGAGGATCGATTTTTCCCTGACCCAGCTCCCTCAAGCTGTGTGCACAGTGCTCCAGGAACGTGTGCACGGTTCTCCAGGAACATGTGCACAGCTACCAGCCTCAGGTCTGGGAGTGGGGAATGGGCAACCGTAAACTGTGCTAAGAGCTGAAATTTACCAAAATTAACTACAATTTACTGTATAAGCCTTTCTCTGAAAGTTGCTGGTATTCCATAGACTGCAAGTTTCAAAAATAGTTGCATCAGAGTCGGTGCAGTGGCCGATGCCTGTAATCCCAGCACTTTGGGTGACCAAGCTGGGCGGATCACCTGAGGTCAGGAGTTTGAGAACACCCTGGTTGCACTGAAACCCTGTCTGTACTAGAAATACAAACATTAGCCAGGCATGGTGGTGCATGCCTATAGTCCCAACTACTTGGGAGGCTGTGCAGGAGAATTGCTTGAACCCGGCAGACAAAGGTAGCAGTGAACTGATATTGCACCACTGTATTCCAGCCTGGGCAACAGAGCGAGACTCCATCTCAAAAAATCAAAACAAAACGAAACAGTTTAATCAGACAGAAAATACCACTGCTCTTGTGTAGGTGGATAGACAGATTCCTGGTGCTTTCTTCTCTGCCATCTTCCCAGCATACTCTCAATCCATCTATAGTTTGATATTGTGCGGAGCTATTATGATGATGAAGGTCTCTGAAAATTTATGCAGGAGTCTTTGTGTAGACATAGGTTTTTATTTCCCTTTTGGGTAAGTAACTAGGAATAAAGTTAATGCTTAACTTTATAAGAATCTACCAAATAATTTTCTGAAGTAATTGTACTATTTACACAGTGGATGAGAATGCCATTTGGTTCACATTTCTGACAAATTTTAATTTTAGTCATTCTAGTGAGTATAGAGTATGTCATCGTGGTTTTCAGTTGCATTTCCCTGGTGACCACTACTGTTTAACATTTTTTCATGTGCTTATTCACTATTCATATATCTTGTTTTTGAACTATCTTTTCCATTTTCTCACCCAGTTTTTACCAGGTTGTTTGTTTTATTATTATTGGGTTGTAAGAGTTCTTTATATATTCTGGATACAAGCCCTTTCTCACATAGTGGTGTTGTAATTACTTTTTTTCCCCAGTCTGCCTTTTCTTTTCATTTTAAAATAGGGTTTTTTTGTTTGTTTGTTTGTTTTTGTTTTTTTTTTAATTTTTATTTTGGACCAGAAGCTTTGTATTCTTCTGGTATACTATCAGTCTTTTTCTTATGTGGTTCATGAATTTTTTATCCTGTCCAAAAGATTGCCAACATTTTTCTTCCACCTTTTTTTCTAGGGATTTTATATCTTAGCTTGTATTTTTAGATCAATGAAGACCCTGCTAGTCTGTAAACTTTTTGAAGGTAAAGGCTATACGTGATTTACCTCTGTATTTTCCACAGTGGTTAGTGGTCTAGTAAATATTTGTTGAACGAATAAATCAATATGACTTCAGATAGATAATGATAAGAAGATACAGACAGACAGATTCTAGGCCCTAAGCTTCTGTATCCATTTCTTCTTTGCTGCTATGACCTGTGGGCTTGAATTACTTCCATGCTTTTGATTTAGTTCATCAATCTATTCTAGTTGGAGGAAAAAACTAGTTAAATTGAAAAAAAAAACTGTATCAGAAAATGCATTTAAGAACTTGAAATACTATGCCATTGGATCTGTTTAGATATCTTAAAGTACCCTTACATGAAATTGAAATTTCTTTTTATTCTCTTTTAACATAAAATATGCATATATACATATATGTGTATATGTGTATATAAAAGGAAATTTTATCTTTGCTCCCTTAGAAAAAATTTCTAATAAAGAAATTCAGTCATGCTTTTGTTTCCCTCTCACCAGTAAAAGCTGATAACAAATAAGCTTAGTCACATGTATTGGTTGCCAGTCACACTAGTTTTATTTATTTTGATGTCAGTCTCTATTTTATTTCCTTCATATACCCTACACCGAAAAAAACAAAACAAAACAAAACTGGTGTCTTGCCACTTGAAACAGGTGTATGGGACAGACAGAAATGTGTCACATAAACCTTTTCAGTTGGAGAATATGCAAAACCTAAGCCAACCTTATTTCACATTTAAGAGGCAGATTTAGCATGTGAGATTAAGAGATAGAGACATGTTTTTGTTTCTGGAACATTCTTTAGGGACTTTCATTTAGTTTCTTCAACTGGATAATTATTCTGGCCTTTCCTTCTGGTTCTCCTTTAGGACAGTATGGTGTGAAGTTCATTGGAAAAATATGAACTTTTAAGCAGACAATATTTTAGGGACTACTGCAGAAAGAGTTATCTCAAAAATTTTCTAACATGCCTTTCTTAGCCAAAATATATGTATAATTTGATAATTTGGTATTTCCTATATAGCTGTGGAGGGTTAAATGTAACTTGGGAATTTGGAGATATTGGTTCAAATAGTTCAACCCAGAGTTTCTCTGCCTTTTGTATAGGTCATCTCATGATCCATATCAGTAAGAGTGTTCATTTTTAGTGTTCATGCAGCCAAAAAGACCTGGCATGGCAGAACATAGCTATCTCTTTTTCCTCCTCCTCCTCCTTTTCTTAATCCTAATTCAAGGAAAATGAATAGGAATTTTTCATGTATTATTTCTATAGGCTAACTCCTCCTGTCACAGCAGTTTACCTATTTCTAATTTATGATGGTTCCTTTGTGCTTTTGTGCTCACACGCCAAGCTCTGTTTGATTTGAAGTCTGTCAAGAGTATTAGAAAATTTTGTTTTCATTCATAGTGTATAGGCCTATGCAAATGTACCCTTTTCATGAAGTAATACCTTTTATATCAATTATCTGTGCCTTTTACTTGCAATCATAATTGCTAATTAAAAGAGGTAGATCAGGCCGGGCACAGTGGCTCACGCCTGTAATCCCAACACTTTGGGAGGCTGAGGCAAGCAGATCATCTGAGGTCAGGAGTTTGAGACCAGCCTGGCCAACATGGCGAAACCTTGTCTCTACTGAAAGTACAAAAATTAGCAGAGCATGGAGGCACATGCCTCTAGTCCCAGCTACTCGGGAGGCTGAGACAGGAGACTTGCTTGAACCTGGAAAGCAGAGGTTGTGCTGAGCCAAGATTACATCACTGCACTCCAGTCTGGGTGATGGAGTGAAACTCAGTCTCAAAAAAAAAAAAAAGCAAAAGAGAGCTAGATGCTAGATCAGTGGTTCTCAACTCTGGTTATATATTAGAATGTTTCAGGAGCATTTTAAAAAATATAGATATATTAGCTTGATTCCCTCACCCTGCTTAGGAAAAATCAGATTTAATTGGTCTGGGTGTGGGACTGGGCATCAGGATTGTTTTCTAAAGTGCCGTTTGTTATTCTGTGCAGCCAGGGCTGAAAACTAGATCGATGGTTTTTAACATGTAATCCTTGGACCAGCAGCATCAGCATCACCTGTAACTTTTTAGAAATGCAAACTCTCAGGCCTACCATAGACCTACTGAAGCAGACCATTTTGGGAGTGGGGCCGAGTAAACTGTTTTCATAAGCTCCCGGTGAATCTAATGCATATCAAAGTTTGAGAATCACTGTTCTACGTCATCCAAGCATTTATAACAAAGCTTTCTTTTACTTAAGTCCAACCTTGTAGGCCCCACAATGGCTCTAGACCTGAAAGTCGCTAAAGAAGGGAGGTGGGGAAGGGAAGAAGCATGCCACAAGAGAAGCCTTTGTTGGTAAATCGTTGAGCCTAAGCCAAAGTGTCCATAGCCAAGTAAGCGCTGTAAGGTATATTGGATATATTACCATTTTTTTATATCATAAAATAGAATGAAAACATATCCTGGCCGGGTGTGGTGTCTCATACCTGTAATCCCAGCACTTTGGGAGGCTGAGGTGGGCAGATCACTTGAGGCCGGGAGTTTGAGACCAGCCTGGCCAATGTGGCAAAACCTCATTTCTACTAAAAATACAAAAATTAGCTGGGTGTTGTGGCACATGCTTGTAATTCCAGGTACTCAAAGGCTGAGGCACGAAAATCGCTTGAATCCAGAAGGTAGAGGTTGCAGTGAGCCGAGATCATGCCACTGCACTCCAACCTAGCCATAGAGCAAGAGTCTGTCTCAGAAAGGAAGAAAGAAAAAAGAACGGAAATGTATCCTGATTGACTGTCAATGCTTATTAATAACTGTTCATTTCTACTATGAAGAAACTACATATAGGAGAAAAAATAAGACAAATGAACAGCTGTAATGGTAGGAAATGGCAGTCACAGAGACAGCAAGTAACGGATGGTGGAAGAAAGGTGAACAAGTTATGGCCACCAAGAATGGAACCTGTGTTGTCCAGAGGGGCAGAAACCACCCAGAGGACAGTGACATTTAAGATACACAACTTCTCTTTCCATATGGTTTGTACTTTAAAAAGTACAGCACAGATGCTCAATGTTACCATTCAGCATCTGTGCTGAACTTTCTGTTTTTTAAGAGTGCACACTTGCAGCTGTACAGAAAGTGGGCGGTGGATTTGGAATGCTTATGTTAAAGCCCCTTTGGTGTGATTCTCTGGACTATTTACTGACTAGTCTAAGCCTCAGTTTCTGAAGTTATAAAATGCAATGAAATCACCTCTCTTATAGGGTAGCAAGGATGAAATGAAACATGTAAAATGCTTGATAGTCTCATTCAACCTTTTATTTATTTATTTATTTTTAAGACAGAGTCTCGCTCTGTCACCCAACTGGAGTGCAGTGGCATGATTTCGTCTCACTAAAACCTCCGCCTCTCCTGGTTCAAGCAATTTTCATGCCTCAGCCTCCCGAGTAGCTGGGATGACAGGCGCAAGCCACCATACCCGACTGATTTTTACATGTTTAATAGAGACAGGGTTTCGCCCTGTTGCCCAGGCTGCTCTTGAATTCCAGACAGCATCAGGTGATCCACCTGCCTTTGCCTCCCAAAGTGCTAGGATTACAGGAGTGAGCCACTACATCTGCCCTCAGTTAATTTTTAAAAAGGTATTGTGGCCCCTCACCCCCGTTGCGGGCTCCGGAGTTCAGGACTGCTAATTTCAGTGAAACTATTAACAGACTTCCCAATGGCTGACGGCACTTTCTCTCCTCCAGTAGGAAAGGGCGTCCAGCGTAGGGTCGCTCACACTTGCCCCTATGGCGCAAAGCAGGCTACACCGAGGTGCGCGCCAGCCGCACGTAGGCGGTCCTCGATGCCCACGCTGTTGGAGGGGCCCGAAGTGAGCCCGAGTAGCACGCTGTTGGTGGGAGGAAAGCTAGAGGAGACCTGGTACACTGGGCAGAGCGGCAGAGGGTCGGGGAGCCTGCCTTGCAAGCCCGGGAGTAGAAGTGGGCAAGGTAACGCGAGGGAACTTGCCAAGACTGAGCTTGGGTTCCGCTGGAGCTCGGGCTTGGGCCCCGGACTGCTGGGCCAGGCCCTCAAACTGCCTTACACCTGATTCGAGGAGGACAGACCAGACACAGAGGGAAGGAGGGAGCAAGGAGACGTGGCTTCATCATTCCTCCCCGCGAGAGCCACCGCCGGCAACAGCAGTGGAGAGCTAAGCTCAGGGGACAACTCAGGAGGTGGAGTTCCCCCATAGCCCTAAGATCAAGGAGTCCTGTTGTCTGGCCGAACTGTTTGAGAAGGCTTTAGCGCACCTGCAAGGCCTTATTCAGGTGGCCAGCAGGGAGAAGCTCTTGTACCTGTATGCCAGGTACAAACAGGTCAAATTGGAAATTGCAGTACTCCTAAACCAAGCTTCTTTGATTTTGAAGGAAAGTAAAAATGGGAAGCATGGAAAGCACTTGGTGATTCAAGCCCCAGCCAAGCAATGCAGGAATATATCGCAGTAGTTAAAAAAGTAGATCCTGGTTGGAATCCTCAGATACCAGAGAAGAAAGGAAAAGAAGAAAATGCTGGTTCTGGTGGGCTAGTTATTAGTTCTCTGTTTCGTGAAGAAACTATCAGGGAAGAAGACAAAAATATATTTGATTACTGCAGGGGAAACAGCATTGACCATATAACCAAAGCCATCAAATCGAAAAATGTAGATATGAATGTGAAAGATGAAGAGGGTAGGGCTCTACTTCATTGGGCCTGTGATCAAGTACGTATAAGGAACTAGTCACAGCCTTGCTACAACGTAGAGCTGGCATTAACTGTCAGGGCAGTCAAGGCCAAACAGCTCTACATTATGCCTCTGCCTGTGAGTTCCTGGATATTAGAGAGCTGCTGCTCCGGTCTGGTGCTGACCCTACTCTCCGAGACTAGGATGGCTGCCTGCCGGAGGAGGTGACAGGCTTCAAAACAGTTTCTTTGGTGCTGCAGCAGCTCACAGCTGGCAAGGCTTAATCAAAACACTGGAAAACCGCAGTCAGTAATAGCATAAGGCTTCCATTATGAAAGAAAGCTACAAAAACAATGCTTCTTTTATTGCCCATCTTTAGTATGTATTGGCTAACAAAATCAGTTCTGTTGAACTGGGATTTTGAAGTCTCAAAAAAAATGTATTGTGGCAAAATACACAAGATAAAATTCACCATTAGTGGCATTGTACAACCATCACTATCTAGTTCCAGAATATTTCCATCACCCCAAAAGGAAGGCCCATACTCATAAAGCAGTTGTTCTCTGTTATGTACTGAATTGCCTCTTCCCTGGGATTCATATGTTGTGTTGTTCTAACCCCTATGTGATTGTATTTGAAGATAGTACTGTTAAAGATAATTAAAGTCATATGAGGACATAAAGATGGAACCCAAATCCAGTGTGACTGGTGTCCATATAACAAGAGACACTAGGGGTGCTTGTGCACAGAGGAAAAGCCACGTGAGGACACAGCAAGAAGGCAGCCTTCACAGCAAACCAGAAAGAGAGGCCTCACCAGAAACCAACCGTGTCATCACTTTGGTCTTAGATTTCCAGCCTCTAGAACTGCAGGAAAATTTATTTCTGTTGTTTAAGCCACGCAGTCTATGATATTTTGTTATAGCAACTCATGTAAACTAATGTATTCTCCAGTTCCTCCCTTCCCAACCCCTGGCAAACACTTTCTGCTTTCTGTTCTTATAGATTTGCCTATTCTGGATATTTCATATACAGGAAACCATACATGTGGTTTGGTGTCTAGCTTCTTTCATTTAGCCTTTTCTATCCATGTCATAGCATGTAGCAGTATTTCCTTTCTATGGCTGAATAATATTCTATTGTATGAATATACCACATTTTGTTTATCCATTCATTCATTGATGAATATTTGGGTTATTTCCACTTTTTGGCTGTCTGTATAATGCCACTGTGAACATTTATGTACAGAGTTTTATTTGGATACCTGTCATTATTATTTCTTTGAGGTATATATCCAGGAGGAAATTGTTGGGTCATTCTATGTTTAATTTATTGAAGAGCCACCAAACTGTTTTCCATAACAGTCATACAGTTTCACATTCCCACCAACAGTGTACAAGGAGTTTTTTGTGTCCTTGCCAACATTTGTTATTTTTTATTTTCTCATCATATTTAGCCATCAAAAAACTTTTTAAAAGTATGTTAATTAGAGGTCTAAACTTTCTTTAGGACAGGTTTTCAGAGGTAGAGCCTCGAACTAGTACTTCTAATTAAGAACCATTGCCAAAGGTAGTGGTTCTCTGTATATGGTGTGGATATCTCTGGGGCTGCCTCGCATTCTCTTAGGGGAATCCTTGAAGTTAAAATTATTTTCATAGTAATACTAAGACAGTAATTGCCTTTTTAAGCCTCATTGTCTCAAGAGTACATATACAGTATTTTCCAGTCTTCGTGGCGTGTGATAGTGCAACAGATTGAATGCAAAAGTAGATAGGAGAATCTAGCTGCCTTTTGTTAAGCCAGGCATTAAAGAAATTTGCAAAAGTATAAAGCAGTGCCACTCCTCTTACTAATTTTTTTGTTTTGGAAAAATTATGTTTCATAAAAAATGTTATTTGTAAAACATAGTAGGCTTGTCGTTTTGTTTTGTTTTGTTTGTTTTGTTTTTTTGAGACAAGGTGTCGTTCTGTCACCCAGGCTGGAGCACAGGGGCATCATGACGGCTCATGGCAGCCTCAACCTCCCAGGCTCAATCAGTCTTCCTGCCTCAGCCTCTCCGTTAGCTGGGACTAAATGCACACGCTGCCACGCTTGGCTAATTTTTGTATTTTTTGTAGGGATGGGGTTTTACCACGTTGCCCAGGCTGGTGTCAAACTCCTGGGCTCAAATGATCCACCTGCCTTGGCCTCCCAAAGTGTTTGGATTATAGGCATGAGCCACCATGTGCGGCCTTGTCATTATTTTTAAGTAGCATAAACATAATAAGCATAACTTTAATTTCTCTATTTTAATGGTAAATATTGGTAGATATAACCTAGATAAACCAAATTGCTCTGAGATCTACAACAATTAGAAGTGTAAAGGGATCTTTACAACATGGTGAGACCCCCATTTATAAAAGAATATTTTTTAAATTAGCTGGGCTTGGTGGCACATGCTTGTGGTCCCCACTGCTCAAGAGGCTGAGACGGGAGGATTGCTTGAGCCCAGGAGGTTGAGGCTGCAGCAAGCTGTGTTAGTACCACTGCACTGCAGCCTAGGTAACAGCAAGACCCCGTATCTAAAAAAAAAAAAAAAAGCAAATGAGAACTGTAGCTCGATGGAAAGGAAAGAGACAAAAAATAACTTTGATCCATTTGTTCTTTTACCATAGTTGGTCTTGGGTTAACCTTTTGATGTATTTTGCTTCATTTTATCTTTATAATAACCTCCATGACATTTGTATACTCACCCTCATTTTTGCATGGGGAAATTTAGTCTTAACAGAAATTAAGAACTTAGTTTGCTCATTAGTGGAGGAGCCAGGATTTTAACTTAGATCTTTAGACTACATGTTCTTAATCACTACCATAACCTTAAAAAAGTAAGTCATCTATACAGGATGGAAGTCCGGGAAATTGTTTGTAGTTCAGTGCCATAATGACTCCTCTACCTCTGTAGTATCAGGCCTCAGAAAAGGGAACCCTTGAAATATTTGTAGACGTAAATAACACTTAAACACTATATAGTACATGTAACTAAATAAAGTACTTAGATGTTCTCTTCAGTGGACCTCAGAGCAAGGACCACTAAATATCAGAAATGTAAGAGGGATAATCTCAGTATGAGTGAGTACAGTTGATAAAATTATATACCTGTATTTGAAAGGCAATTTTAGTGTCTCTTTGAGACATAAAGATAAATATTCAGTTAGAAAGAGCAGTGAGCATTTGTGACCTTTTAGAATAACGTTATTTTCTAAGACCTCACATCCAGTCAGTCAGTCCTGAAGGGTCTGTTGTTGCAGGAATGAAGTGGCACTTCACTTAGGCAGGAACCAAAGTATCATGTGCTGCTGCGTTTACATAGAGTAGACTAGGATAATTATTTTCTTATAGTAATATTATAATTAAAAATTTTTTCAAATTAGAGCAGCTTATCCTATCTAGTCCTTTTTAAAGATTTTTTTTGTTGACAGAGCAAAAATATGTGACAGTTTTAAAAAACTGATGTTGCTAGCCTGGCGCGGTGGCTCAAGCCTGTAAT